CTCTTGGAATTGCCCTGGCCCTGTTGCCATCCTCATCCTGGCCTTCATGACTTTTTTTTTTTGCCCATTTGAGCATGATTTATTTGATGAAATTGCCAATTGTTTTCTCTTCTGCCTACAAGGAGAATTTCAAGCTTATTATGGACATATCCTCAGGAGTTGATTTATCTTGATGCCATCTCTGTCCCCAGTTCACAGCTCTCTTCCTTCCCTCCTCTTCCCTTCATGACAATGGCTGCTTTGAGTCCATTTCCAAAAGGACTTCTGAATGATAGGGCAGGTAAAGACCATAGGTGTGTCTTCTCTTTGGAAATTATGTCTTAGTACAGGATTTACGAAGTTCATTGCCAAATCACTGTCTGTTCTTTAAATCTATAGACAAGAATTTGCTTTCTCAGAGGGGCTGAAAAAATTCCAGGCGAGAACTTGGCAGCCCTTGGGGTGAGGGGGCCCAGGAGCTGGTCTACCAGATGATTACTTTCTAATAAAGGCCCACAGGGAACAGTAGACTCTGGAAAGTGCCACTGAGTAGTGTCATCATTGGTCACTGCTAGTTTCAGACTCCCTGAGACTGCCCAACCCCTTGAGGTGTTCTTTTACAAAACCACATCAGCTAAGAGGAAAGGAAAACTCAGGCTTCTCTGTGCTCATTTTGTTGGGATTATCAAACATTTGCTATGTGTGTTATTTCTCTTGTCTGAAGGAAAAGAAACAAGCGCTGAGTAATCTTATTGGGACTTGTGCCTTATTTTACTCTATGAGTCGTGCTCATCTGAAGGTCAAAAGCTTAGCAAAACATTGTTAGAAAAATGCTGTAATTAAGATTCATTTAGAGAAGGCTGGTTACAAAAATGTGCCCAAGAAGATTATCAAGTTATGACTCAGCTTAACCATGTAAATCTTTTTAAAAGTAGCTGATGTTTCATAAGAAGTTCCATTTAAAAATATCTCTACTGTTCTCTCCAGGAAAGTTATACTATGAATAGAGAAATTAGGAAGAAAAATCTGACATTTTGGAGACTCAGAAGTTTAGAGGTGGGATCTTTGTTCTATGAGAGCACTGAAAATTTTATAAGCCAATTTGGGGTTGTGGGATAGATATATCTTACATGGGCAAAAATTTGTTTTTGGAAAACAGGGAGTTTTTGTAATTAAATTATCTACCTGGCTTACTAATTTCTTATTTTTCTCTCTAGGTCTGTGGTTCTCACATTTGAGCATGCATCAGAATAATCCGTAGGGTTTGTTAAAACCTAACTTGCTCTCAGAGATTCTGACTTGGTAAGTCTGGGGTGGGGTTCAAAATCGCATTTCTAACTAGTTCCCATGTAATATTGATGCTGCTGGTCTGGGACCACACTTTGAGAACCACGGTTCTAGATCACTGTAAACCCGACCACTCATTAAAATTACTTGGGGAGCTCTGAAATATTCTATGCCCAGGATCCCCCCCCCCCTGGGGGGGGGGATCCTGGGCATAGAATATTTCAGAAGCTGTCAGGTGATTCTGCTGTGTAGTCAAGATAGAGAATTTCTGTTCTAGGCAAAGCTTACTCATGTACTGGTCTTCAAAGACCATGATGCTAAAGCAGGTAGTGGCTAGCAGCTGGGTGCTTGTGGAGCAAGCTCCTGTGCCCTCTGTCTGGCCAGCCCCAGGCTGCAGGGTGACATCCTCCCATGTCAGGGAGTATCCGTTTCTGGAATGAGTTTGAAGTTTATGCTATCGCTAAGATTACAAAAGGCTCTCTGGGAGTTTTCTTCTGCCTGATAACTGGGAGGGCAGCCTGAGTCAGAACAGGTTCATGCTGTACTTTGGCATGTGATAGCTAGTCTGGGGAATAATGAGTCATTTTAGATTTTAAAAAGAAAGGCAGGAGAGAAAGAATTCATATTACTTTCCCCAATATTTTCTTTTTAAATTTTAATTAATTCATTAATTTTGGCGGGGAGGGGCAGAGGGCGAGGGAGAGAATCCCAAGCAGGTTCCATGCCCAGCATGGAGCCTGGCGCTGGGCTTGATCTCACAACCTTGAGATCATGACCTCAGCTGAAATCAAGAGTCAGATGCTTAACCAACTGAGCCACCCAGGTGCCCTTTTTCTTATTTAAGCCCCAAAGGGCAACCAGATCAAGACTAGTAGAATTATTTGCGTTTTTACAGATGAGTAAACTGAAATGCAAAGGAGGTAATTGAACTTCCCAAGGTCACAAGACCCAGGGGTGGCAGAGCTGTGATTTGAACCTGGGCTGTTTGACTTCAAAGGCAAGGATCCCCGCCACCTTACCGCTTTTGTAAAATGCCTCTGGTGCTCCAGAAACCACAGATGTGATGCAGAACTGGTGGTGTAATTTGTGGGCCCCAGTGCAAAATGAAACTGTAGAGCCTCTTGTTAAAAAGTCGTTAAGAAAAAAAAAGTTGTTAAGAATTCAAGGAAGCAGCAGCAGAGCATTAGACCAAATGTGGGGCCCTGTGTGACTGCAGAGGTTCTGCACCGTGGAGCCTGGCCTGATGTCAGGCATTGATTTGCACAAACTACAGATAGCAAACATTCTGATCCAATGAGAAGGATGCTCAGGGACAGCGTGGTGGGGAGGTACCAGCAGCAGTGCTGAGCGTGGAGACACTGGGTTTTAATAATAGCCTTGTGAAGAGCTTGCCATTATTCCTGTTGACCTAGAGCATGTTATTGAACCTTTCGGAGGCTCAGTCTTGTCATCTGTAAAACTGAGAGAGGGAGAAGTGGGGAGGGGTAGGCGATGTCGGTATTTCTCTGACTTCCATTATTTCTATACCATGTATAGTGGCTATGGTCACGATCCCTGGACCCACACGACTTGACTTCTAATTTTGGCTCTACCAAATTCTAACTACAAGATCTCAGTCAAGTGCCTCAGCTTCCTCATCTGTAAAATGAAGGTCATTGTGAGGGTTACATACGTTAATGTGAGGAAAGCACTTGCATAATGGCTGGTATGTGCTAGAACTATATTAAGTGTTAATTATTTCTATGAATCATGGCACCAGCACTAGGACTGATGTTTTTTCTTTTAATTTGACTCACTTTTTAAATTTCAAAATAATCACCAGATTCATGTGAGTATATATATTTTTTCTAGTATGTGTGAAAATGTATAATAACTATACAATATTTTTAAAAGCTCAAAAAAAATTCATTCCTAGACTCTCTAAAATCAGCCCAAATACTACCGATGGGAAGGTCACCACTCTGTGGGGAACATTGTACTGGATATTGAAGGTCCCTTCCAGCTTTACTACTCTAGGAATGAATGAATGAATGCCTGTGTCTTTGCATCTATGCCTTCAGTCATTTGACAAATATGTGACTGAAATATTTCTCCCTTCTTCAGTCGAATCTTTCTGTTGGTTAGCTACATGTTCCAGGGGAAACATGTTTCAATGGAGAAGAGAGATTGTGAATAAATCAGGTAAGTAGTTAAAACCTTGATGAGTTACTGGGGTTCTCTCAAGAACTCCCCCAAAAGTCTAACAAAGGATGACACCTAGAGTCGTGAAAAATTGAGACGGGATGCTTATAAGACGACACAGGCTAGCCTTCAGTGGTGAGGAATCTGCTGGAAGACCCTGGCCCTTTCATTTGAGCACTATTTTTTTTTTAAATATTTTATTTATTTGTTCATGAGAGACAGAGAGAGAGAGGCAGAGGGAGAAACAGACTCCCCACAGAGCAGGGAGCCCCATGTGGGGTTCCATCCCAGGACCCTGGGATCATGACCTGAGCCGAAGGCAGTCGCTTAACTGACTGAGCCACCCATGCGCCCTTGAGCACTGTTTTTCCGCTACTTCCCTCTATGTAAATCTTATCTTATAGGCTTACAATTTAAATTCCACCTCCTCATGCTCCTTTCCAGCTACTCCTTTTTTCTCATCTGAACAGTAGTCAGAGAGAAGTGTTTATTAAGCATGAGTTGTGTTCCAGGCACAGAGGATGCTGTGTTGAACGCCCACATTCCTGACCTCAAGGAGTGGATGGGACTTCGGGGCTACCAATTTGTATAGGGACCATCAAGATAGTGACTGAGGAACTTTAAAATTAGGCTTCACTTAAACCTCCCTCTCAAGTGATCATGAGCACCAATCCCCAGCCATCTCATGAACATCAGTGCTTGTTGGGTGTGAGAAACATATAATAATACAAATCGAGCACAAAGGAAAATTAAAAATCTTGGGAAAGGTGCAAGACTTTTTGAAGGCAATGAACATGAACTTAGAGAGAGCATCTCTGATTTACACCCAAAGCTGTGGACAGTTGAGGAGCTGGCAGAGTTATTTCAGTTATCAACAGAAGAAAAGAAAATCAGTAAGAATGATGGCGTGATGGGTACTTCCCAAGAGAATGATTGGAATATTGAAGGATGAAGAAAGAATCTTGGGAAAAAATGAAAAAGTCTTTAATATTTTGTAAAAGTCAATATGAAGTGGGGATGTTAAATGGTATAATTAAGTCAGAAAAATTATGCCAAAAAATCCACACTTAATTTATACTTTGCTGATTAAAAAAATTAGGGCATGATTGGTATTTTAATTTAATTTTGTCAAATGTAAGAAAAATCCTTTTTTCCGTAACTTTTAGTTTCATAATTTTTAGTTTCTAAGATAGAATTCCAGTTGAACTTTTCTGCTCTCACTTTTACTGTGCTATTTTTGTTCCTTTATTATGTGGATTCATTTGAAGTGGATTTTTCATGGAATTAATTATCCATAAAAAGAATGTCCAGTAATAGTATTCAATGAAGTGATGGATTGATCAGCATCATTCTTCAGAACCAACGACCAAGACCATAACAGGCAGAAAGGGCACAACTGGCTTTATGGACTCTAATGCAGAAAGCAAGGGTCCATAAAACCAGCTAGATTCCTCTTGCATGGAGATGCCTAGTCCAGCTAGGAGGTAATTTTGGGATAAGCCTGTTCAAGGCCTTGAGAGGGAACTCTCAAGGCTCCAAAGGAAGTTGCTTACCCACAAAGCACCAGACTGCAAACCGGATCCATGTGATGGTGGAGAGCTTTAGCATGAGATAAATGTTCACCAGCATGGCAAAGGCAGGCACGAAGGGAAGGCAGGGGGCCATATAGGGCAGCTTTTTGGGGTTCTCTGGCTGCTGCAGGATCACGAACACCAGGGCGCTGATCAGCAGCACCATCAGAACAACCAGAAGGATGGCCCACCAGCTCTGCTCTGAGATGTAGTCGGAGCCAAAGATGATGAAGGAGCAGAAGATGAACATGAGGATGAAGAGCAGGAGCACGCAGATGGTCACTGTGTGCCCTGTAGCTGCTGTGGGCCGGTCCATTTTGCCTGGAAGGCCCAGCCGGATCCTCATGGTGTAGTAACGGGGCCCAATCAGCTTCTTTAACTTGATGAGATAAATGTTTTCAGATTCATCGGCTTCTATGCCTGTGGTCATGTCCACAGTGCCATAGTTGGGATGGTTCACGTTGTAGGTTGACTTGTCTGATTTGCCTATAAGCATCTCATTGTCTCCCAGAGATGGTAGGTTTTTGGCGCCACATGTGTTGGTGGCTGGGCCAGAAAACTCTTCCCCTTCACTCACAGGAGAACAAACTTCCTTCTCACAGTCAGCCAGGATGCCCTCCTTCTTCTTTGTGTGCTCCTGGGACAAGAACTTGACAAAACCATCAATGTCACTCTCCGGTTGGTATCGAAGGAGCAAGACGCAGACAGAAACCAAGGTGTAGGCAAGGAGTGTGCCAATGGACATCATCTCTATTAGGTCTCTCAGGCTGACTAATAGCGAGAGGAGAGCTGCCAGGAACCCCGACACAATGCAGGCCACCACTGGTGTCTCTGTGTAGGAGCTCACATGAGCCAGGAACCTGGAGGGAGGGGCAAGCAGAAGCTTAGCAGTGAGCTACAGATGGTGACTGACTCTAACATGGTTTAACTCCTCTTTGTCCTGCTCCTCCAATTTACTTCTGGATTCACTGCTTTCAATACAGCTGCTATTCCTACCACAGGATTTGGTTTCTGGAATATAATTTAAAAAGAATTTACTTTAATGCCTTGGTTTTGAGGCAAACTTCTTTATTAAAGTTCCTACTTCATTATGTGATGTGAAGGGTTGATTGGATTTGGGAAGTATGTCAGAAACCTGAATTGAATTGCAAGCTTTGCTGGGAAGAAGTGATGGGTGGAGAATTCATATACTTGCGTATATACCTGTGTTACCCAAAGCGTGGTCAATCCATGGATCAGCAGCATCAGTATCACCTTGGAGCTTATTAGAAATACATATTTTCAGGTTTCACCAGAGACTTACTCTGTCAGAATCTCTGGGCATGGACCCTAGCAAATTATACTTCAGAAAAACTCCAGAGGATTCTGATTTATGCCAAAACTTGAGAAACACTGCTCTACAATGAAAGTGCAGGGGTTTAATTGGCAAAATAGCACAATAATTCAGAACATGTGTTCATAGATGCAGGCTAAGTCTGTCCAATTACCAAGGTGAATGAATGACAGGTGCTTCTTTAGCAGTTCCTGTGGGCCTTAAATAGGTTCCTGCTCTCCACCTCACTCTCCTCCTAATCCTCCCTCTTTCCCGCTCTTCCATTTCTTCCTTCTTTTCTTTTTCTTTCTTTCTTTTTTTATTAGAGAGAGAGAGAAAGAGAGAGCATATGCAGAGGTGGGGGCAGGGGCAGCGGGAGAGAGAGAGAGGGAGAATCTTAAGCAGATTCCATGCCCAGAGCCTGATGTGGGGCTCAATCCCACGACCCTGAGATCATGACCTGAGCTGAAATTGAGAGTCAGCCGTTTAACTGACTGAGCCACCTAGGTCCCCTTCCCTTATTTTTGTGTTTTACACATGACTATCAGCTGTGCTTGGGTTTTTTTCCTCTTAGTTTTCTTTGACAGCAGAAAAATCTTTTGGATGTGTGAAGCGTCTCATCTCCATGATAATCAGCCTCTTCTCCAACTGTCTAGCTCCCAAACATGGCAGCTCTGACCTGGTGATGACTTTGAGGTTATGCGGAGGAAATGAAGCAGAAGATGACAGCTCATGGCAGAGAGAAAGTCCCTGAGGGGATCCCTCCATACCCCTGAGAGCTCCTTGGCCTCTATGCTTTACTCCTTGCTTTGTGAACTTGAAGAATGCCTTCGCTGCAAGGCCCTCATATGGTGGGCACTGGGAACCAAGAGGTGGGCCATGTTCCCTTTGTGCCCATGGGCAGATTGACCGCTTTATGGCCAATGTAGGGGGCTCAAAGTCCATACATTGGTGTGGTTAAAAATCTGGTCTTGGGAGTCAGACAGTCATGAGTACAAATCCTGGCCCCCCACTTAGCAGCTGGGGGGTTGGGGCAAGTTTTCTCACCTGAGTATACTCATCTACTATATTCATCTGCAGAACAGGGTTATTGTGACAACTAACTGGGATACTGTATACAAAGCACCCAGGATACACAAATGTTCAATAAATGGTAGCCATTGTTGCTACTGTTATTAGGCTCTGTTCAGATGGTCTTATCCTCCCTGCAATGGTAGCTTTGAATGTTTTCAGCTTCAGAGGGACTGTGGAGAGATGGGCAGTACCAGGCCTCAACATGAGGGCAGGCCTAAGATGTTCCTGGGATGGGTCTTTCCTTCTGGAAGCCACCCAGCATGACAGTTGGACACCCACAATCTTTAGAAAGGAACACACAGTGCTGAACAGGACGGGTGGGGGCAGTTAGGGGAACATATCAGTTTGTGCTAGACTGGGGGGACCTAGAGTCAAACTGAGGGACTATTTCAGGGCTTACATTACTTTCACTCGAACTCTTTGTCAGGATATATGACAAGTTCCATTGTCTATGTGACATACACTCACATCAAAATTATAGTCAGGCTGACATTCTCCCTGGGCAGGCATGGCAGAATAGAATACATTTCATGGAGCATAGCCCTTACCTGAAAAGGAGCCCATCACCAGCCATGGCATAAATGACCCTTGGCATTGGGAAGAGGGAGCCCAGCAAGCTGACCGTCAGTCCTGCAACCGACCCAATGGCCACTATGAATTTTGCAGCATAGAACCCATGAGCCACAAACATCTCCATGAGCGGGGATTCTGTGTCAATGGCATTGTATGGCACCATCAGAGTTAAGATCATGCTCACCTGTTAAAACAAGAGAAAACATGGCTGGAGGTAGAGAGGACGGTCAGCATGGACGGATGTCCCACAGGAGAGCAAAGAAGCCTGGATGTTGAATTTGCCACTTCCTGGCATGTGCCCTTAATTTAGACCTCTCATTTGGGCTCCAGAGCTCTTGGTCTCAGTATTTTCTCTTCTCGTTAGAATTTAGTGGACTTGGCCAGATGATCCTAAATATCTCTCTCTGGCCCTTTCATAGCTGAGGAATAAGTATGCAGGTATTTAAGCACAACAACAGCAGAACTACATTGACAGTTCAATGAAAGGCAGATACTATCAGGTAGAAGGAACGACAGCCGAAGACACTGGAGCCAGGGCCTAGCAGTGACCATGGGCACCCTGCCCACATGAGCCAGACTCTCATTTCTTTTATACTTTCAGGGTCTTATACACTCTTAACTATATGTTCCTTTTCACCCTGAAGACCAGAGATAGAAACTCTGAAGATAAGTGATCAGAGGGCCATAGCCAGTTAACAGATGGGACCCAAGGAAGGACTCATATTTCCATTTCTTCTCCGTAGTTCAGTGCCAGGAGCCAGGCAGACCAACAAACAAATTATGGCATCAGGATGGAACCCAGTTCTACTCTGGGGTTGTAAGACTATTGTGGCTTTGCTTAGCCAGGAATCACGTGGCTCCCAGGACCTACCTTCCTTCGTATGTCATAAATCTGCCATAACATCCCTTCCTCATGGCCCTGGGCAATGAAGCCACTGGTCATAAGGCCAGGCTTCCCCTGGCCTGCAGAGGCCAATGCTGGCATCAAGAAGGGAGTTCAGAGCCTGAAAGGGAGAGGGTGGTGCACTTCTAGACCACTCCTTCACATATTCGTCAGGAGCCAAAATCCTCCTGCGAAGCCATGGGCTGCTAGGGAAGACAGGAGGATGGACCACCACAGGCCAGCAATTTGGCTCTTCTGATCATGGAATGGCAGCCTGCTGACCAGCACAACACCAAACAACCCCGGAGGCATGGGTAAGTGTCATGTGTTCTATAAGAGAATCTTTCCCAGCAACTTCACCCCTTGCAACATCCCCTTTCGGGGTAGGCTGGAGGAGAATGGGATTGATTCCTACAGCAATTTGCATTGAGTCTACTGCTCAAGTTAGGTCAGGATGGGCAAAAAGTTGATAGATGCATAGAAGTACTCTGCAGTCTATAAAGTGCTGTTCTAAGGAAGGAATTGTGATTATTAACTTCATTGTGTGTGCTGCAGGGGTTGGCCCCTGAAGGAGGGGGAGGTATGTAAGGGAGGAATAGAGGGGAAACGCAGAGCAGGGTGTCTCTCCTGCTCCCCTGACACCACCCCTACTCCCTGAACACCCTGTCTGCAGGGATAACCAGGGTATGGATAAGATGAAACTGCTTGCCTGTGTGTGCATAGGGGAAGGTGATAATTGACCTACTTCTAAAACAATTTCGAGGAGCAGCTGAATTCCTATGAACCACATCCAAGGCTGCTCTTGTGTTTCCCTTTGGTGTCCAGGACACTCTTATTTTGCAGCTTGCCTTAATGATCAAGCCAGCCACTGATCTGGCTTCCTTAGTTGCTAAATATGTTTTTGTTTTGTTTTAGTTTTTGGGAAGGAGGTTCTTTTCCTATGCTATGCAGCCAGGGTGGCAGGGCTGATAGGGCATGTCTCCAGCTGCTGGCTCTTTCCTATTTGTGGTAACTGAAGTGAGTGGGACTCTCAGGGCCTGGGGCATTTGTGTAACAACATACCTACTGGCTTGTTACCTGGTTCTCTCCATTGCCAGGGGCTGGGTTGGGGCAGTGGCGGCGGCGGTGGGGGCGGGGGGGGGGCATGTTGGCTGTGAGTGAACTATTTCTGTGATAGAAATTCTGGGATGGGACCTGAGAAATGACACATCGTAAGTGTGAAGATCATCTCAGGGAGGTGATCCTGAGCAGACAAGCCTGAAGGCTTCCTTCTGAGGATTCCCTTCAGTAGGAAAACCTTAAAAAGATGCTTGGACTGGTATAAAAAGAGGGAGCAACAACAGAAAGAAATTTCCCCCGAGATTTAAGGGGAAGAGTGTCTCTAGAGGATGATGTACTCTCTTTCCCCACTCTGGGAGAGCCTTGCCTCTCGCTGCCGGGAAGCTCCCAGAAGACAGAAGAGCATTGAGGAGGGTGCACAGAGGTCCACAATGCCTCTGCTTGCACACCCACCCGTTACTGCCAGCCTATGATCTGAGCTCCTTGGACAGCAGCCCACTCCCTGTACACCATCCCCTGGGCAGCAGTGGACACCCAGAGTCTGTGTGTGGGGAGGAACGGGGATGGAGACTCGGAGGCCAAGGCTGAAGGCAGTGAGGGGTGCTCCCATCTCCAGTTTGAAGTCCTGATTTTCTTCTTGTCGTGGGTGGGTGGGATAGAGGGTGCATGGACACATGCATACAGACACCAAGATAGCACAAGGAAGGGACCACTTCCTGACAGAAGGTAACCCAGTACCGGAGCTACATTTTATGGCCAAATACGAAAAGACCATCAGGACAGTCCTGAAAGGATGTAGTACTTACAGATACATATGCTGTCAGGCAGATGACCAGGGAGGCGGTGATAGCATAAGGGATGGACGTGTTTGGATTCTTGGCTTCCTCTCCAGTGGTGGCAATGATGTCAAAGCCAATGAAAGCATAGAAACACGTGGCTGCTCCTTGCAGCACCTGGTGGGACAATGGCATTTCTCAGACTCAGAGTGTCCGAGCAGCACCAGGGCCTAACATGTGGTACCCACAACTGCCCAGTGCCTGGCGACATTCCTGAGCAGCAGAGGGAGGAACATGGCGGAACTTGTGCTCAATGTTTGGTTCTGATCTCCAGTACTTTCTAGCTGTGTGACGCTGGGCAATTCCCACATGTGTAAAATGGAGATAAGGAGAATTTCGGCCAAATGAAAACTGGGTTGTTCAACACATTCAAATCATTTTTGGAAATAAGTGGGGTTATAAGCAAATCAATAAGTTGGCTATCTCTATGTCTTGGGGGAACTCATTAACATTTCTGTGCTTCATTTTCATTCAATGGTTCTCATCCACAACCAGGGGCTGTCTGACCTCCCTTAGGGGTTGTTTGGAAATCTGAGGAGCTACTTGTGATGGTCACGGAGACATGGGGCATGCGCTTTCAGCATTTAGTGTACAGGGCTCAAATACTTCTGCACAAAAAGTTGTCCTGCCCAAATTACCGTTAGTACCCCTAATAGATCATCTCTGTGGTAACTTCTAGATCTGAAACGATATAAAAGATGTTCAGATCTTCAGAACTCCCAATTTCACGTCAGTGAAGTCCTTCATTTCAGGGAATGGAGGTTCACAGGTTTGGAAACATGCTTGTTTTCAGTTGTCTATTATCCTCTTGTCTTTCATGGGAAGACAGGTAGAGACAGTTGGATTTTTCTGCTCCTTTGGAGGCTTGAGTGACCTCGTTGGGCTACAAGGCAGGAGAAGATGTGTGGTACAAGGCAGTGTAGGGCTGTGGAGGTGGTATCCAGTGACACCTGCTGGATGTCTGTCGGACAGGAGCTTCTATGGCTCCAAGAGTGGTTGGGACGTGGTAAGTCAAGATGTCAGTGAGAATCTTCCCTTGCGGAGTGCGTTACTTTCTTCCAAAGAATCCACTGAAGTTTCCCCACCTTAGCATTTCAGTGTCAGCTGAAAGTAAAAAGTGTGCCTCTTCGAATGCTTGGGGAATGTCCTTTTAGGAGAGGGTGAGAGAACTTTTTCTAGACTTGTATGTAGAGGGTGAGGGGCCTTGGCAGTATGCAAGCTCTAGCCAGGGGTCCAGGAATGAGCTCCATTGTAGAATGGACCATTTTCCCTCTTTTCTCCACATACAGCTTATACATGATGAAATTCAATACATGTACCAAGCAGATAACCTGTGCTCAAATTTTCACTCCTAAACTTTCCCACTAGTTTCTCAATAAGTAAAAGACAAAATACTAAGTACTGGAATGTATGAGGTACATTAAAAACTGAAGATCTCACACCTCAAATCAAGTTTTGCTCACTTGTAAGATGACTTGGTCATTTCTACAGTCTCTCCCATTAAGATTCTAAAGTTTCAGTTCCCTAAGGGAGCTCATCCTGGGGTCCATTTAACTCAGGGGGTCTATGAATTTTGCTGGGAAGAGATTACATCTTTATCTTTCCTAACCTCTGACTGAACATTAGCATTTCTTTTAATAACGAATGCAAGTAATGAACAGTGCCTGTGACTCTGTCACCAATAGCGATCAGATATTTTTTCCATAATAGATTGTTGCAGAGTTGTTGAAATATCACTTGTGCTTGTTGCTACTTCCAAATTACAATAGTTATTAGACATAGATATCAATATTTAAAACACTATTAAAGAAACACATTATTATTGTATCACAATTTAAAAATATTTTATAACTATATTTTAATATATTTGATTTCTTTTGAATTCCTATGTAATTAGGTTATTCATTTATAAACACGATTCTTAGAAGGGCTTCAGAGTCTTCACCAGACTGCCAAGGAGCACATAGCACAAAACAATAGAAGAACTCCTGGTCTATTTTAATAACTCAGGGAGAAAGAACTTCTCAAACAAGCAGTTGTTGGAGGGCTACTTTCTGGGAGGGGCGTTAACTCCCAATTTCACTTCAGTGAAGTCCTTTCATTTCAGGGAATGGAAAATATTTGGGCCTCCAGTCAAGGAGAGAAAACAGATCTCACTTCATTGTGCATGGAGGTTCACAGGTTTGGAAACGTGCTTGTTTTCAGTTGCCTAGAACATGTTTTTGGTCTTTAAGGGTGAATAGATGCTGGGATTGCAGACTCCCTAAACTTCCCCCATTAAGGAAAGCCTTGCTTTAAGACAGCTTCCAGAAAACAGGTTCTGCTTTCTCTTCCTATAACATCCTTCTTCCCTTACACATACACGCACATGCATGCACACACAACTCCTGTGAATCATACGGATCTGTTACGACAATCAGTCTGATGATGTATCACTCCCAGTTAGGGTGTCCCAGGAAGACAGTGTTATGCCTGTTTGGTGTGGTGAGTTCTGGATGGAAAGTTCATAGATATAGCCAACCCTCACTGCTGAGGAAGGGGGGAGGGGTGGAAGTGTCTTAAATAAGAACTTTGGGGCACATCTACACTAGAACAAGATGAGAGGTCTGTAAGTCACGCTGTGTGAGGAATCACTGGGGACCAAGGATGTGTAACTTGAAGAAAAGAAGACTCAGCGGAAGACATGGAAGACACCTTCCACAATTTTGATGTACTGACCATGAAGCAGTTGGAGGAGAAGTATACTGTGAGCTCCAGAGGGAATGGCAAAGCCATACATAGGGCAGGGGTAAGAGGGGCAAGCATTGGATTTGATTGGGAGAGCAGATTCTGTAGACTGTCAAACTTAGGGTGGTTTTGTCACATACAGGCTTGGTGACCTAGAACAAGTTCCTAACCTCTTGGAAACTCATTTTCTTAAATGGAGATGAAAATAATATTTAATTCATAGTGTGATTACAAGGATTAAATGAGATAATATAGTGAACTGCAGTCATAGACTACAGTAGGTGCTTAATATATATTAGCTCTTACCAGTGGTATTTTTTATTACTATTTTAAGTTTTCTAGAACAGATGAAACCCAAAGGCATAAACAAGTTCCTCCTCCTCCTTGTTTCTTTTTTTAGAACTAGACACAGATTTTATTACCTGCTCCCTTCTGCCAGGCACTGTGCTTTGTGATATGGATACAGTCATGAGCAAAAGTATTCTGAGCTTAACCCCCTGGGGCTTGGAGTCTAAAGGACATTGCAAGATCCAAAATACAACCTTGACTGTAGTAATAAACTGAACAAGATTAATAGGTGTCTGTATTATTTGTAAGGCACAAATGCTACTATTTTCCAAACAACTTAAAAAATAGATGGCAATTACTGATAATTATGTGATATCAAAATATTGACTATGGTCAAGTTGGGAATAGAGACAAAAAGTTTGCAAAGAGAATGTCTGTTAACCTGAATTTGCTATGTAGAACTAGAAAGCCATTATGGTTGAAGGACGACTGGACAGATCAAAGGTAGGACATTTAGAGTTTCCACTGCATTAGGTAGGAAACAGAATTTAACTCAGATGGTTTAAATGAAATGATTTCAGTGAAGCCTACTAGCTAAATCCAACAGGGAGCAACCAGCGAGGGGCTTTCTGGAGCATAGAACAGAGAGTGGATAATGGATCTGGGGGGTAGGGGCAAATAAAAAAACCTCAGCATACCTGCCAAGATCAAACAGATCCTGATCTAACAAGATATAGATCAAATAAACAGATTATCGAAGAGAAGATAATAAAATTAGCAAATAAGGTCACCTTTTTACTTAAGTTAGTTTGAATGAGTTTTTCTTCCTTGCAAGCAAGGATTGATGAGGGACCTGATTGATGAACACAAAAGAGCCAGGAAATGAACCTGTGTATGCATGTGTCTCTGCCCTAATGACCACTAAAACTACTTTCCACTTTGCTCTATCCAGACCTCAGATTTGGCCACAGGGATTTGTGATTAGGATTCCCTTCCATGTATGAAAGAATGTGTATGTACTTAGGAGTGAGCATTGGTAAATGAAATCGGTGGGTGAAGTGTGTGTATATGTGTGTCTCTAGGTTCATTGGTACTTTATCATAACTTTAAAAATTGACTTTTTAATTTGATGACATAAGCAGAAATGGTTTCGCAAAGTAATCCTGGGGTAGCTGCTCATGTGGGTGATCCAGATCAGCCCATCCCTCTATAGAGCTTTAGTGGGGAAGCAGCACGTGCCTCAGTTGCTGGAGGGCTGGCTGCAGCTTATTTAGTTGTCAAAAGCAAGGTCATGAGTGGCATGCTATTCAGAGTGTGGAGTCCCTAAAAGGTGGCCCCCTATGTTTTATTGGTATTCGTGAGGCAGCTCTCCGTATTCTTCCTTGGCCAGTCTGCCAGATGCCTAGGAGCTAATTAGGCAACTTTATATAATTCACTCCCAAGGTAACAAGACAAAACTCCAAATTTAATAGCATTTTCTACCACCCTCATGCTCCACAGCTATTAGCAGCCTGTCCACAGTGACAGTAGAATGTGCTAATAGGTTCCAGCAAATGAATTAAAATATAGAGAAGATGAAAAACAACTTTCCCTTTGTTTGGAGGCAGTCAGCATTCCCCACAAATCCTTGTTATGGACCATTTTCCTGGGAGCTATTTGTGCAGGTAGAGTATCTTATTTGGTTAAAGAAAAACCATAAGATAGCATCAGGAACAAATAACATACAGGGAATACACATCCAACAATGTTTAGGGGCCGAGGAACTGTAGAGGGAAGCAGGGGTTCAGCTGAAGGCCAGCAGTTACTTGATCTAGAGAAAAATATTTGTTGTTCTTAAGCTCTTCAAGACCAAAGAAGCATTTGACCCAGAACCTGTAAGTGAGTAAACCATTCCTTAAGCTATTTTCTTTGGAACAATGTGGTTGGAGCAGGGAAAGAGTAAGTTTATGAAGGGTCCATGGCCAGAGGACAGATTGTTCATTATTAACCCCTTCAAAGTACTTGAGAATTGTGTTTCAAGTCATGTAATGGTATCCTTATAAACCATCTCCTACACAATGATCTTTTCCATCCCATCCTACCTGAAGTGGATTAGAACTCTGAACTAGGCCCCTTGTCAGGGGTAGGGATCAGGTTTTCCCTAAGGAGAAGACCATACAGCTGCCAAGTAGGCAAATCACTTTTGTTGACAATTGTTAGGTAAGAGAGTAGGGAGTGTGTTTATTAACTTGGTGGATGACATGTTCATGAGAGGGTGTCAGACCTTAAAAATTAGGATCCATATTCAAAGTGGCCTTGCTAGGGGTGCCTGGGTGGCTCAGTTGGTAGAGCATGAAACTCTTGATCTTGGGATCATGAGTTCAAGCCCCATGTTGGGCATAGAGCTTACTTAAAAATCAAACCAAACCAAACCAAACCAAACCAAACCAAACCAAACCAAACCAAAAACAAAGAGGTTCTTTTGGACTGGAAAAGTGACCAGAAAACAAAGTTGGGAAAGAACAGGTCCAGGCCAGTTTGCTAGGGAGGATATGTACTATGCAGAAACCCAAGGCCAGGCAGATAGGAAAGAGGATGAATCAGCACCATCCTCAAACTGGGCTGTCCTTTGTGCTCAGCTGATGCTTTTAGTCACAGCCACTAGACCACATATTTGAATTTCCTACAGGGATAATGAATTTGCAGTGAAAAATGCAAAATCCCAGCCAAAGCTTTCTGGCGGCCAGTGACAAACCTACTCAAGACATAGGGTTGGGTTGGAGTGAGGTTGGGTTGGTGAGGCCAAAGGTGCAAAAAGAGACATTTGGTCCCATATGTCCAAAACCAGGTCGGGGTGGGGTAGTGGAGTAAATAAGGACTTTGACTCAACCAGGACTAGGATTGAATTTCAGCTCTATTACAATCTAGATCTGTAACTTTAAATTTTCTCAACTTAAGATATTTTGATGTAGATGTAGAGATCAGGCCTGTTGTGAAGATTACATGAAAAGTGCATATGAAAGAGTGTGTCACAAAGAAAATGGTAAGTTAAGAATGGAATCATTCCTTTCTTTTTTTTATGCCTGACTTCTGATCTTCTTTTCTTGCTACAAAAGCTAGTGAGAACTTGGGTGTATAAATGGGAACCCCTGAGGCTGGCTTGATTAGTTCCTTCCTCCATGGGGTGGATTTCTGACTATCTCGAAAAGGGATATGAGGCCCTTGAGTGGGAAGAGGAGACCCCCAGAGAGAATAAAGACCCCAGAACAAAGACAGAAGGACAGGTTCAAAGATTGGTTTATCTTCTTCAGCATGGGCAAAGGGTATTTGCACAGAAGAGATTAACTGCTTCCAGTCTTTACATGGGGCCTAGACTGTAATGTGTGCCATGTGGGTGAGCTCTTAGATTTTTGAAAATTAGGCATGAACTGAGTAATTACAAAATGTTTTCAAATTGTTTTGCTATGATGTCTTAGTAAACAATGTACTTTGGCCTGGGCTGGTTTACAGGGCCATCTGAAGGTAAGAAAAGAGGCTAGACCATGTCCTAATGCTCCTCCTAGCCCTAAGACTCTTACGACTTTGTGAAAGCTTAAAGGAAATGAGAATGTAATATGTTAGATTAGTTATCTTATTACATTTTTAAGGAAAGCTCAGAAACAAGGGGCAATCATGCACAAGGTAGACCATGCAATAGAAAACGCTTTGGAGTCACATAGACCCGACTAGGAATTTCAGTCCTGGCACTGACCAGCTAAATGAATCCAGCCTCTCTGAGCCTTGGATTCTCCATCTGTTAAGTTGGGCACAGCCGCACCTGCTTTAAGGTTTTGTTATAAGAGTGAAATAATATTCGTCGATCACAATGCCAGGCACCTAACAGGCAGTCGATAAACTCTAACTCCTCCCTCCTGTAAGTATCACTATTGCTAACCACACAATGCGTACCAAAAAACCATCCAAGATGTTATTCTTTTTGGCAAACATTAGGTGCAATTAATTTTCCCAGTTGAAGAATGAGAAAATCTGAAAGCACAGAAGTTAGCTATTGGCCAAAGTCTTAACACTAAGTCCATGACCCCAAAATTTCTTAGACTGTGAAAAAAATGGTGAGAACGTTTTCGTGTGCTAGGATGAAAATGCAGTTGAATTCCGGAAAAACACTTCTTTCTTTGCCACTCTTGTAATTTGTTGTTTCTTTTATTTGATAGGGAAGGAACGATTTGTATTGTAAGAAAATGTCGACTTGGGGACCCAGAATGGGGTCAACAGTGTTTCTTTGTCTCTTCTGGTTTTGACCAGTTTCAGGATTTTTGCATTTCAAGGGGGATGGAGGAGGGATGAACTTTGCGGTACTGTGGAATTCTTACAGATAAGCAGAAGACTAGAAATCTTGGCTTAAATTGCTCTCTTGCTTATTTCTTTGCATTGAACAGTATGGCACGGCTCAGAATAGACGGGAGTTATTTTGAGTGTTCTCCAAGAGAGATTTCTGGTCCCTGGACATCTTGGAGGAAAACCAGTCTAAGCAAGAGCTTTTTACAAAAGCAAATCTGGTGGTGTCCCGGACTTGCTCTCTACCAGGGCTAGGCAGGCGTGCCTCCCTTGACCTCAGTTTCTTCACCTGCTAGATGAGGGGTAGAAGCAGGTGATTTCTAAGATCTCTTCCAGCTCAAAATTCTCTGATCTATGTTCTACTATTTTCAAGAAAGGAATAGGTAGTTGACTTTTACCAATGAATTCATCAAGTAGGTATTTTTCATCATACCAGAAAAAGGATCCAGGCATAATTTAGAATTCCTTGTCAGTATAAAGACTTTGCCCTCTGATCTTCCCATTTTTTTTTTAGTGTAAACCTCACCACTCAGATCAGGGGGATGAGATCTGAAAATGTTCTTTTAGTCCAGCCTACTCTTTGGCCAACTCCCAGGTACCACACCAGGTGGACTTCGATGCCATGAACCATGCCACTAGAATGGGATTTATGGCCAGCCTTCACTGTGCCCTCTCAGCTGCACCTAGCCTCAGTGGGGCTCTCTACATTGGGTCAAACATTGGGATTAAATTTAAAAACTGTTGTTTCCCTAGTTTTATACCCAGGCAACACTCATCCCTTAACCTACCTACCCTCTCTTCTGACTCCTTTACTGCCTTGTCTGTTTAAGGTGATCTGTCTTTCTGAAAATACTCTAGAGGGATTCTCTAGGACCAAGCTCTTCAAATACAGGCTTTGGAGTCAGACAGTCCTGGCTTTGGGTCTTGACTCTGCCACTTAGAGTGTGCACTTAATAGGGAGTCCCCTGACCTCTCTGAGTGTGAGTTTTTCATCTGTAAGACCAGAATGTAAAATATCTTCGTTTCAAGGTTATTAGGTCACTTAAGTATTACATGCAGAGTACTTCGCATAGGATTAGGCATATTTCAGATGACCAAAACATCAAATCTATTATGGTTACTTGTATAAAATAGGGTCTCAATAAAAGTTTGTGAAACAAGTAAAAAAAATGATATAGGAACCTCTTTTTCAGAGCATTCCAATTAAATTCAGATAAAAAGTGATGAAAAAGATGCCATGAAGATTATGGGACAGAGCAGCATTTTTTGAAAGTATGTCTCACACTAGCCACAGGGTGGAAGGCAGAATGTGCAATAGCCTTACGAGGCTTTAGAGATGAACTCACCCCTGACCAGCCATGGGGCAAGAACTGGCCCTCGGCCCAGTATTTCCCATTGATGAAGAAGAGGCCTGCGATCATGATGAACACCCATACTGCCAGGTTCAGCACGTTGAGGATGTTGTTGAAGCCCACGGAATTCTTTACCCCCACCGCAACAATAATGGTGACGATGATGGCAATTACTAGAGCCAGAAGGTCAGGGTATGATTCTTCACCTTTCCCTAGAGGGCAAAGATATGAGTTAATATTGTCTAGAGGGAAAAAAGGGCCATGCAAACTCCTAGCATCCTGTCAGGCATTTGCACTCAGCTCTGGCAAGGGTGATCAGTTTGTCATGGAGGGAGGAGAAGCAAGTGTGTGCGGGCATGCGTGTCCACATGTGCGCTTGTGTGCAAGTGTGTGTATGTGTGTGCACGTGTGCCCACACTGTGGTCCACAGGTGTCTATTTGCAAATGGGAAGGTTTTGGTATATAGGTAAGAAGACCTGATATCCTGGACCCAAAATTGGGCGACATGACATGACAATGACAACACGGCCTATGGAACTGTGGCATAGAACACTTGAAGTCAGATCTGTCCTGAGACATTCTTGGTGTATATATGGGTTTAACATGTTATTTGAAAACTGGTTTATCTTCACTGTTGTTCACTTTATAGTCCATAAATTTTCCATTCCATTCCAGCAGTCTTTTCATTTTTAGAAAGTTTTAAAATGTGTATCTCTGAAAGCTATTGGCAGAAGGATGTTCTTTGCGTTTATGTGTATGTGGTTGCAGAGAAAAGAAGCAGTGAACACACCCCACCTGTTAATGCCTGTTCTGTTGGCCAGTGGACTCCTGCCCTCTATAGAGGGGAAAAGGCACTGCCTCAGCTGTCAGGCTCCTGAATTTCAGCTGCACTTTCGCCCATGATCAGCTGTGTGGCCTTGGGCAAATGCCTCAGGTCCCTGGACCTCATCTGTAAAGTGAAGGGTTTGCACTCCCCGATTTCGGAGGCCTTTTCGGACCTAAAATCTTTGTGAAATCAGTATACTGTGGAGATGTGGTCTTCGTACTTTTTAATCTTCTCGTGGTATCTGGATGCTCAGCAATTTTTATTAATTCTTCTGAGATAGGGACACCAAAGTCACATGAGTAGCACAAAGCCATGGCAGCTGTCCTTGGAAGTTCTGTCGCAAGACCCCCAAGCTTCCTCAACTATTGTGTGGCTGCCCATAAATATGAGAGGGTAAAGTCAGACATCAGGATGGAAAGCAGGAGCAAGCGATGGATGGAGCTCCTGGTATCTGTGACGCGAAGTTCTGATTATTTAGTACTTACCCAGTTATATTACCCCTCCTTGACTTCTGCTAGACTGGAATCCATTTTGTCCCTTTTAAAAGTATATTTTGTCATTTAAAAATTAACACGTGCTTATTTATGGAAATTTAAAAAAATCTGATGAAACCACTGGAGAAGTTCATAACAGTTATTTTTCCTGCATTGGTTTTATTTTTATATAGTTATAAACATGATGCATATACAATTTGTATCCTTTGTCACATGACATTACATCAAAAACAAATTCCATGTTATTACAACAGTCTTCCCAATCATCCTTTTAAAGCTTTAAAGCTACATAATATGCTTCCACAATTTACGTAATCATTTGCTCCACTGTAGAATACTTAGGCTGCTTCTAATTTTGTTTTTTTATAAATAAGGCTGTGATGAATATTTTTTCATATAAAGCTTTTATGGAAATTAGGATGATTTCTTTAGGATAGATTCACAGGATAACTACTTTGCAAAAAAAAAAGAGACATATTTAAGGCTTTTGATAACATTTTGTCAAATTGAATCCTGAAGGGGGAGCCCATTTATTTGTTGGGGTAAGAGGATATGGCAGTCTCACCCAGGCCATTGAGGGTTCCCACGCTGTCCACCATCCAGTGGCTGATGGTGTGGTTTGCTAAGGAGTCGAACATGCTGCTCAGAGCACTGGCACCAGCTGCAGTGCCAATCAGGTACTCCAGGATCAGGTTCCAGCCAATGAAAAACGCCACAAATTCCCCGACAGTGACATAGCTGTAGGTGTAGGCTGACCCCGTGGTCTTGGGGACGCGGACTCCGAACTCTGCGTAGCAGACACCTGCATGGGACAAGCACACATGGGTGGTGGACTTCAGGAGAGGAACCTCTTCACTAAGATGTTTAACCGTCTTGGGTACAAAATACTGGGAATCTCTGCAATCTTAGAACAAACACATAAAATTTTATATATATGAGTAAATTCAAGGCCAATTCTAACGTCTTGCAATGTCAGTTCTGAAAAATTTTTAACCTGAATTCCTGCGAAGGCAATCAAAATGGATTCTAACAAACTATTGGAAACTGCTCTTTATTTAGAAAAATTCCTGTTTGTTGTGTATGTCTCTGTGATGTTCCTTAGGTGTCAGAGATCCTGAATGAACATGGGCCTAGGTTATTATGAACCCCACACTTAATGGCTACATTACATTAACATTCTTCTCTTTCATTTTTACATATTGTGGATGGAGATCCTCATTTGAGAATGAGAGTTTAAGCGATCTGTGAAGATTTTGTACTATATATGGGAGGTGGGGTTGATAAAACATGCAAATGTAAATAAGTGACTAAGTTTTTAACAAGGAAATTTAATATGTGGAAAAGATAATTTAATGAACACTTATAGAGTGCCCGCTATGTGCTTGGCAGGGTGCTAAGTGCTGGGAATAAAAAAGGCAAGTGAGACATGACCCTGACCTCAAGGGGAGATATACCAAAAGATCAGTGTCCATCATAGGCTGCATAAACTCAATAATGCAGAGATATATAGGAACAGAGAAAACAGAGGGGAGAGACATGTGCATCAGCTGGTTTTGAGGTATATGGAGGAATTAACTGGGCAAAGAAGATGGAACATGAAGCAAAGACATGGTGAGTAGGCAGTCTGAAGTATTTGGGTGGAGGGAAGTGTGCATGAGGGGACTGGGGGCAGAGAGCCTGGAGAGGTAAGTAGAAGCCATGTATTTTCCAGAGTGGGTCAAAACCCACTTCCACAAGAATCATCTATTAAATCATAATTTCAGGGATGAGGACCAGGAATCTGCATTTTCACAAGCTCTCCACTTATAATTGAAAAACGCTAGTATATTCCCTCATTCTTTGATGGAATTATAGATCAAATTAGAAAGAGACTAGGAATACGCCAAACTTCTGGGAGTTGGGAGCATTTCCTATGTCATGCTGGGGACTCTGGGTGTGAGGCCAGTGGGTGGGGTGCCAAGTTGGATGACAAACATAGGACAGCTTGGAGGAAACACATCAGGAATGGGATGTAGGAAGGATTTCAAAGTAAACTTTTCCTTCAGTCACAATTTTAAGGGCCAACCCTAAGTTTCTTTCATCACAAATCAGGGAATAAAATCAATGCAAGGAAGCAAAAACAGTTGTCAGAAGCCAGGACACAATGAATGATTAAAGGTGATGCAATATCTCTTTTCCTACCCCTTAGTGCTGTCAGTTCTCAGTCCATCCATGTGGAAGGAGCACTGGACAAGTGGGGCTGTGCTCTTGTCTCAAATCTGCCTTGACCCTGTTCATTCCTTTATATTCAGTTTCCTTCTTTGTAAAATAAAGGAATTAGACAGGGATGCTCTTTTAAGGGTCTTCCTCTTCTGACACTCTAGGATTCTACCTGTTTCATTGAATTTTACGGATTTTACTGTTAAATATATTGGGCATAGTTTCCTTTTCTTTTACATCAGTTACTATATTGTTCTATATATGGAGACATTCTCAGGGCTAGCAAAGCCATCAGTCTCTGCACTGAATAACCTAGGCTACCGTTTATTTTGAGTTCTTATGTCGGCACCCCCTACCCCTTTGTAAAACAGTTTTCCACCTTCTTCCTGGGGGTCAGACTGTCAGTTGTTTTTTTTTTTTTTTTTTGATGCTGATACAGCGGTGACTTTGAGCAGGCAGACCACCTGTGATGTTTAAATTGTTAGAGTGAATCTAAAATTAAGAGGAATTGTTCTTGAAGGAAGGGCTGGAGAATTTTTCCATGAGTAGAGTATAGAGTGTATAAGCACTGAGTATGAGGACCTGATAGTGTTTTCTTGAATGCTTGAAGGACTTTTGTGCTCTCATCTCCTGAAGAGAGTTGGGTTTGCAGATACACATTAAGCTGCCCTTTTAGTATGGTGTGAGGAAGGGATTAGGAGGCAATCCTAATTCTACTCTTTGGTGTAGGATCCACAGCTTTACCCAATAATTCTTATATCCTATGAGTTTCTTCTCTTCACCTTCTTTACTCCTAATAATGCACAAGTCTTGTAAATTGAAGTTTCTCTACCAATGCTTTTGAAATTGACATTAAATTTGATTGTAAATTTAATTTGGAGAGCCAGTATTATGAAGTTTGGGCAATCAGTGGTTCTCTCCTTAATATTTGATCTGCCAAATTAGATATAAAAATACCCAATTCAGCATCAGAACCCACTTGCCAAGGGTAATTGGCAAATAGCCAAGTCTTCCTTAGGTCTTGTGAAGGAACAAGTGCATTGCTGTCCTGAGGCAGAGACAGAGGCTCTGAGCTGGGCACGGTGCAGGAGCATATGAAGTCAGTCATTTAGTTCCCAAGGTCCTGCTTGGATGCTGATAGCTGGAGTTTGGGAAGAATAGTGGGAAAATCAATTAGACACTAACCGGGTAAGACAATTTCTGCTCCTAGAGACCATTCTTTTGGACACTTTGTAAAGGATTTTATTTTTGCATCTTTCTGATTTATTTGCATGCAAGAATCCAGGCTTTTAGTGGGCACTAGAGAGTATCCACCCTGGCACTGAAGCTCAGTGGTGAAGAGTGATTTCAACCCCAAATGTCCTGAAAAAAACCAGAAAATGTTGTCAAGCACTCAACTTTTCAAATATCTGGTGTGTAAGAGAGACATATTCAAAGGTATCTTTCTAATTTCAATAAGAAATAAAAACCAGGGTGCCTGGGTGGCTCAGTTGGTTAAGCGACTGCCTTCGGCTCAGGTCATGATTCTGGAGTCCCAGGATCGAGTCCCGCATCGGGCTCCCTGCTCGGCAGGGAGCCTGCTTCTCCCTCTGACCCTCCCCCCCTCATGCTCTCTCTCTCGCTCATTCTCTCTCTCAAATAAATAAATAAAATCTTTAAAAAAAAAAAGAAATAAAAACCAAAGAAAGGGAAACCATGGTTTTTATTCTAGGTCATGTAATAATTGAGTGTCTAAGGGCAAGTTACTTTCCTAACATGGGTAAAGGGAGGGGGCCAGATAGATAAACTTTAGGGTCCCTTCTAGTGCTATCATTCTTTGGTTTCACAGAATCAACTTTCAGTCATTTGAGTCAGTGGGGGCAGCCCTGGAGAAAATACTGCAAACCAGTAGTTCTCAGCAAAAGTGGTACTGCTGCCTAGGGGGAATTTCGGAAATCTGTGAGGGTGTCCATTGTTCTCATGAGGATTGTGGGCACCTGAAGCATTAAGTGGGTAGGAACCTGTGAGCTGTTAGACATTCTACAGTGTGGGACTGGCCCACAGAATGAGGCATTGTCCTGTGTGTTCCATAACTCCTATGGGTCAAAATGGACGTGTTTATAAAAACAGGTTTATAAATTATAAAAACCTGTTTATAATTTCTGATCCTGAATCTATCCCCATTTTATATATTAACACATTTTTTTCATGATTTCATATACATTGAATTTTCTAGGGCTGCAACAACTGGGTAAATTGAGGGACAGTTGTAATTTGTTTTGTTTGGAATTTACCAAGATTTGACCATTATTTTGGAAAACCATATCATCAAGAGCAACATGACTCATGGTCTCTGAACATCAAACAGCACACCTGTGTGAGTTTGCATTTATAGTGATTCTGTAAATGACAGCAGACTTCTGAGGACTTCATTACCTCTCTTATTGTTCTTATGCCCCGGCTTCCACACATTGAAATATTATTTTTACTAGAAGTGACTTTTCTTTTTATCTTCCATACTCAGGGCATATTGACTTTTAAAAAATTAAGTGTGTAGCTCTGGAAGACAGTAGAGGTTTCCTCAAAAAGTTAAAAATAGAACTACCCTATGATCCAGCAATTGCACTGCTAGGTATTTACTCAAAGAATGCAAGAATACTAATTCAAAGGGATACATGCAACCTAATGTTTATAGCAGCATTATCTACAATAGCCACATTGTGGAAACAGTCCAAGAGTCCACTGACTGATGAATGGACAAGGAAGAATATTTCTCAGTCATAAAAAAGAATGAAATCTTACCTTTTGCAATGACATAGATGGAGCTAGAGAGTATGATGCTAAGCAAAATAAGTCAGTTAGAGAAAGACAAATACCATATGATTTCACTCACATGTGGAATTCAAGAAACAAAACAAATCAGCAAAGGGAAAAAAAAAAGAGAGGCAAACCATATTTTCTATAGAAAATAAACTGAGGGTTAGCAGAGGGGAGTTGGATGGAGGGTTGGGTTAAATAGGTGATGGGTATTAAGGAGTACACTTGCTGTGATGAGCACTGGGTGTTTTATGGAAGTGTTGAATTACTATGTTGTATACGTGAAACTAATATTACACTGTATGTTTTTTTTTTTAAGGATTTTATTTATTTATTTGACAGAGAGAGAGAGAGAATGAACAAGCTGGGGGAGAGGCAGGCAAGTGGGAGAGGGAGAAGCAGACTCCCTGCTGAGCAGGGAGCCTGATGTGGGCCTCGATCCCAGGACCCCAGGATCATGACCTGAGCCTAAGGCAGATGCTTAACTGACTGAGCCACCCAGGTGCCCCTACACTGTATGTTAACTAACTGGAATTTAAATAAAAACTTAAAAAAATAAAATATAATTTTAATAACTATAAAAAAAAGAAAATTAACTGTGTAGGAAGATAGCATTATCTCTAGTTTGCATTTTAGGGTAGCAAAGGAAGAATTTCAAAGTATTTATTACCTAAAGTTGATTCGGTGTACTAGGGTGGAGAATCACTATTCTAAATGAGAGAAAAATTTATAAATGTTCTCTATTCAAGTTAGTAATGCATTAAAAAATTTCTTCCCCTGGGGTTATCTTTCTACTCATATTTGCCT